GTCTGATACTTTAGCTTTTAGAAAAAGTCGACATGACAACGTCTTCTGTCGTGTGCTGGATCCTTTGCAGTCGAGTGGAGAAGAGTGTCGGCTTAACCTTCCATTGCATTGATGATATTATGGAGTTCATATTCATCAAGAGGAGGTGTGCTAGCTGGTGATTGTGCATCAGCAATATCCCATTCAAGATTGAGGCGTTCGGCTCCATCTTTAACACGGGAGGGGATATCAAGTGTAGTCATGCTAATGATTTCTTTTAAAAATGCTGTAGCAGTTTGAATTTGGTGTTCACCATTCATATCATCCCCGTAATAACACGTGATTGTAGTGACAAAGAGTCTGCGTCCGTCACAACAATATAGAACTGGTTCTTGATTGTAGTAAGAGCCATCAAGAAGACGTCTAGCAGTATCTTGTAAATGTAAGAAACTGTGAATTTCGAAGTAATAGGGAACAAGACTGTTAGCAATTTCTTCCGAATTTAGGAGGCGATTATGCTCGTACTCATCATGTGCGGTGAGTTTGAGATACCATATTTGATAAGGTTGAAAGAATCGAGTTTTTTCTCGACTACCAATGGAACTGGAAATCCAAAAGGTAAGGTAGCGGTTGTAGTTCCATCGCCGGCTTACTTTGTAAACCATGGATTTTATCATGGCAGGGAAGTTTTTATAGGAATCATAAGAAGAAAAAGTAAGTTTGTTTACAAATCCCCAATCAATGGGTTCCATGGACCAGTCTATGCCAGGAAGGATAAAAAAGGCAAATTTAGGGACACGTTTGCCATTATAAAGCATATCAAAGGTATTGATATCTTCGTGTAACGTTTCATAATAATATCGAATGATATCATAATGATCTTCAATCTTGCGATAAATTATGCGAAAGAGATCTGGAGGAAAAATGTCTCTTGCTTTTTCAAGAAGACAGATACGATTGATTTTTGCAAATGTATTTTGTGAAAAATCTTGTTCTCCTACCAACTGGGCGAGCTTTAGAAAACAATTTATTTGTGAAAGAGAAAAATCTTTTTCCCAGTCAATAGTAAGACAGATCTGGATGCAAAGCTTTTTAAGCTCATCTGTCATGGCTGATTGTTCAGCTATGAGGGCTGTAAGAGAACTCAGATGTTGTCTGAATTTCTTATTTGCACCGAGTTTATGTGCTTTCCAAACATTGTTGATTTCATCATAAAGATTGTTTGGAAGACCAGGATCGTAGAAATTGTTGATTTCTGCAGTATCCGGGATTTTGGAAAACATTTTTTTGCGATAAATTATGCGAAAGAGATCTGGAGGAAAAATGTCTCTTGCTTTTTCAAGAAGACAGATACGATTGATTTTTGCAAAAGTATTTTGTGGAAAATCTTGTTCTCCTACCAACTGGGTGAGCTTTAGAAAACAATTTATCCGCATCGGCCATTAGAGGTGTAGTCGATGGTGGTGTTTCCACTGAATTGTTCGAGAATCCGCTTAGAAAAAATTGCGAATCGGGAAGTCTTGTAAACTTCTTAGCCATTCTAGTTAATAATTATAAAGGCACCTGGGAACGCGATCGTTTCCTTGATTACATTTCTGCAACCCTACAAGGGGATGCATTAGATTGGCTTCGCCAATGGGATCAAACTTCTCAAGGCCAACGTCAAAAGGATGCACTCTTAAACAATTTTGATAAAATTGATATGCTTTCATTTGGTGTATAACCAAAATGGGTAAGCAGATCATCGTTTTGTAAAGAAATCTGTCTGATTCGATTGATGATATGGGTACTTTCATCAAAAGTGAGTTGTGGGTTTACTTTTTCTTCTCATGATTCCTATAAAAACTTCCCTGCCATGATAAAACCCATGGTTCCGTGATTTTCCTGACATTATTCAAGATAAAAAGCAACTTCAAAGTTTTTTGGGAATCTTGAATTATGGTCGAACTTTTATTCGGAAGAAATTGCTAACAGTCTTGTTCCCTATTACTTCGAAATTCACAGTTTCTTACATTTACAAGATACTGCTAGACGCTTAAAATGGTTCAATATAATTGCCAAATATTCTTTTGCTATTGAACATATCAAAGGAACTAACAATTTTCTTGCAGATTTCTTAAGCAGACCTCCAGATATATCTAACCCAGATATCTCTCTCTCTATGAACACAGATGGATGACTACAATTCTCTACCCACAGATAAAGAAGGTTGGATTACTATTGCTACTTAAAACACCCTCTACCTCATTAGAGAAGTATCTCTCTAGAATCTAAAGCAAGCAAGCTCAAAATGGTAAACCCTTCTAAGGTTATGAAGAGGAAGGTAAGGCAAAGTTTTTGTATTCCAAGCTTTATAGTCAAAGGTGAGTGGAAGGGGACCAAAATGAAGCTTAAAGCTCTAAGCCAAGCTTTACTTCAATGGTGGCTAGGTTAGGGTTTGAGAGGAAGAAGATGAAATGAAATTAAAGTGAAAACCCTAAACTAATTTGGGTGAAATCCTCCACTCACTATGTGCTCTTACACTACCTCACACACACACACACTAATGTAAGACTAAATTTAGAGCATACACTTGCCACTCATCCAAGCATCCATTGTAGGCTTAATCCTAAGCTTACACTTGTCAACCATCCAAGCCAATAAGTGCACCTATCCTAGGTCAACAAGTGGGTGAATCTCCACCCTCCACATATCATCGTCCAAGTGTCTCCACAAAAATGTCAGCAAGTGGACCAATGAGAGTGTGATACTTGTTACACTTTTCGAAAATTGCAAAAAGGTCCTTTTGAAAATATCTTTAAATTGCAAAATAGTCCCTAAGACGAAAAATAATTACTTTAGTAATTACACAAATAACCCTAAAAGAAAGAAAAATTCCAAAGAAGTGTGCATCCACATCCCTAAGGAAGAAAGTACACTACTAGCATGCATTTCTAAGAAAGTAAAAATACAAATTTCTAATAAATCATATGCCATGAGTACATGCAAAAGTGGACATGAATCCGAACACGTAAAGTGAGGTTGTGCCAACAAAGTGACAAACGGAAAAAAGACGAAAAGTGAATAGTGTCAAAAGAATGAAAATGTGGAAAGGACTCGATCCTTAAAGGAAGTTGTCAATTCAAAGGAAAGAGTCTTGGAAACCATTTCCAAGCACTCGAGACAACACTAATTGATGAGTAATCAAACTCAGAAAAGAAAATTCAACGAAAAAAAATTTATCTGTAAAATTTGAGAAAAATGAAAAGAAGGAAAATGATCTGGTCATTACAGTTACTTCCTCAACCTTAGTTCAGGAGTTTAGTTACACATAGTAGAAGAAAAATAAACAAATAAATAAAAGAACAACATGATTGAAGGAAACGAAAGCAAATAAAACTCGGATGTCTTCCAACTGAGTGCTCTTTGCCTCCTCTTCTTTGATTCTCTCTTCAATATTCTAACTCTGTTGCCCTCTCTCATATATATAATAGTCTTTCTAGGGGTTTCTCCAAAGGAACGAAGAATAAACTTGGAATCTGCCAGATTTTTCTTTCCATAATTTTGTTAATTTGAAACCCGAATTTAACCTTGTTGGGATGGTTTTCACAAAATTTCTATTAGATACAAAAATGACTGGCATTGAGTATTCGTTTTAGAGTTGCCAATTTTTCCGAATTCTGACTTCCGAGTCAAAAGTTAGGACCAAATTATTGAGGTTGGTCCAAAAATTTTTCCAAGTTGTTTCCACATTTGAATATAGAAACTTCATTTTTTCAAAATAATTCCCAAAACAAATTTTGCTTGTTGAATCCTCTTATGAAAATCTTCTAGAACCCTTCATAAACAATCTCAACCCTTGTATGCATTCGGACGTTTGATTTCCTCAATTGATCTTTGCTTAAAATGGCCTATATAACCTCTAATGATGTGAAAATTACCAAATACCTGAAAATATATAATTAAAAAAAACCCCATTTATTTATTAAAATAAAATACCATAAAGTACTAACAAATATAATTTTAAGGATAAAATATGTATAAAATATACACTTATCAACTTCAAGATTTTCTTATGGCTGGAAAAGAAAGGAATTGAAGTGTTTGTACTAAAAGTAAGGAATTGAAAATGTAGGACTTGGAAAATAAAGTATTGCAAGTGTATGACTTGGAAAGTAATGTGTTGAAAGAAGTACATTGCTGAAATGTAAAGATAATTGAAGTACTGTTGATCGTGTGTATTGAACAGGGTTTTTAAGTTACAACTAAGGGTCCTATTTACAGAGTTTCTTTAACGGCGGTTGGTGTAGAGAGTTCCAGCAGTAGTAGAGATGCTTCCAAATCGAACATCCGATTTGTGCCAAGTTTCACATGTCTCCCTTAATTTTCTCATATGTTGACATGTGTAAAGACATTCTCTCACATGAATTGCAACTTTTGAGGTGTGGTTTGGTGGTTCAAAGTCAATTGAAGGTTTCTAGCCACGTTTTGGAATTGCCAAGTGGAATGGATCACAACCTTTCAACTACAAGTAATTGCTGTCAACTGCATGTAACTACTTCCTTCCCTAGCTGCCACGTATCCCATGACTTTCCAACTTGCAGGTAACTGCTTGCCTCTTTACTAACACATGTCCCTATGTAGTTACTTGTACCAAATGGCTTCCTCTCCTCTAATGAAGCCACGTGTCATTTCATAATCGCATCTTTATCTGCATATCACCATTTAATTAGAAACGGTCACCCTTCCATTAAAATTGACCACGACAACCTTTCCAATGAAAAGAGCAGATAGTTATGGTGTAAATATGGTGTTTTCAAATCTTAGAAGAGAGAGATCCAAAAATTTACCATATATGTTAAGAAGATCCTATTCAACCCTCTATGTTCCTTTTTGGGGCAACAATTTACTTTCATGCTAAGAAGATCCTATTCACCCCCTCTATGTTATTTCATGATTGCATCTTTATCTGCATATCACTATTTAATTAGAAACATTCATCTTTCCATTGAAATTGACCACGACAACCTTTCCAATGAAAATGTCCAATAGTAATGGTGTAAATATGGTGTTTTCAAATCTCGGAAGAGAGAGATCCGAAAATTCTTTTTAGAAATGGAACTGGAAGATCCAAGGGAACCAACCATGAGTTAATCTTAAGCTGGGCTTGACAACCTGATCCACAAGGCCCACCACTACTTAAATACCATTTCGAGCAATGTAAAGCGAAGCCGAAAATCTGACCGCTGGTAATACTTTCCCGCGAGTTTCTTCATTTTCCCCCATTGTCTCATTGTGAAACAAATGTAGAGAGAGAGGGGGAGGAGTAACCCTAATCTAATGAAAGGAGGGGAAGGAGTAATCGAAAGCGATGTGGAGAGAGAAGAAGATGACTCAGCTGCTGATCTACTGAGAGATCGATTCCGACTCAGCACTATCACTATCGCTGAAGCCGAAGGTCAAATCTCTCCGTCATCTATATATATATATATATACACATGATTTTAAATCAACTGTCATTCTTCTATTGGGTTATTGGGTATTAATTGCTTTGACGATAATATTGAGCAGCAAAGCGAAACGAAATGGAAATTTCTCAGCCAATTATGGCCTGCATCTCCGATTTGGCCTTTAAATATGCAGGTAAAGCCATTTATATCCCTCTCTCTCCCTCTCTTTCTATATATATACACATATATTTATACATACGAATGTACTTGTGCGTGCGCCTGTGAAACATATGCAAATTAAAGCTATTTTTGTCACCCTCCACTCATTTGTTAATTCTGATTACAAATACAGTTGATTTTTGTCGATGGCAAAGAATTCATACGATTACAATTTGACCTATTCGGTGAATAATTTCATGAAGTGTGGGTATTTAAGTGATTCTATGTTGAATTTTTATTTTTATGTTTATTTATGTTTTGAAATTTCCTATTTTAGGCTGATATAGTACTTGTCTAAAATGCTTATAGTTCAATTAAGGAATCAGAGAACGTTTACGGAAACATCAAAGGCTTTCTGTAATTTCAAGAGATAGTAAAGGAATGCTAAAGATTCTGAACTTGAATATGAAAGCATGAAATTGATAGCATATAGATGCTTGATAATTGGGCAATTAAGATGAATATATGGATATGAAATGTTAAGGCCAGCCTAGGACTCATTTCTTGTAAGGGTCTTGTTGCACGCATTTCTTGAGTCATTCATGTAGTAAGTGATGGGTGGAAGTAACAGAATCCTTGATCTGAATTCAGAATATTATGAGCCAAATCATATTCCCTTGAGGTGACTGGTAGAAGGCTGCTCTAGGATGATGGTTACGGCGGTGACGAGGTGACTGTGAAAAGGCAAGGTAGGGGCCTCTTGTGAGGTTCACAGTACTTTGTGAACAAGGACCTAAAATTTTATACAGGTTATGAAAAAGATTAAGATATGAGATGAAACTCCTCTGATTAACTACAAGTGGAAAATGTATTATTAATCAAAATAGAACTTATTGGTTATACAACATACATTAAAAGTTACAAGATAAGGCTTCAAGTTAAGTACTAAGCTAAGCTAGTATGATGTTAGATTAACTACAAGTACAAACTACAAAGGCTAAAGGTACGACTAAGTAAAAACCTATGTTACCGATTATTGGTTATGGACCTGTCTAATATAAAGGGAAAATATGGTTGATGGTGTCTTGACCTCTTTCATGGATTTCTAATCTCTACTCATTTAAGTCTTGGGTTGGCAGGATTGTTGGATTATATTATAATGCCTGACACATGGCTTTCTCTTCCCATAAGCATTGTTGGTGGTTGGTCTTGACCACCCATTGCTTGTCAAGTGTCCTTGAACTCTTGTGGTCTTCATCTTGTCCCAAACAATCTCCATTATCTCTTTCTTAACATATCGTCATCTTCATCCCATAAGAATGGTTTTCCATTAACTCCAAGTATAACCGTCGTATTTCAAACATAGCCTATATATTATTCCCATAAATTATGGGTTAAGATTCGACTATCTTGCCACCTCATTAAAATTAGTTGGCAATTGTGTGGAGCCCATGCATATAAATATATGAACCATATTTTGGGTTTAAACATGTCATGAATCCCACATAATGGCTATTAATGAACAACTCTTGTTTTTATGACCTATTTAGCCAATATTATCCCATAATTCATGCGAGTGATAGATATACATATAGGCAATGCTTGGAATAAATGACCATGTAACATGCTAGGAAGTTGAGAGAATTATAGGACAAGAGAAGACATGTGTCAATTAAGAGAATGAAGTCCATGCTTAGTAACTTGAAAACCATGCTTTTAGGTAGTTGAAGGAACTTGGCAAGCTTGAATAGAAGATACCACCCACCCACCATGTCTTTTAGAAGGAGACCACATGTCAAGCTTAGGAAGGATAAAGCCAAACACCCCCAACCACCTAAGACTTCTATAAATTGAAGAGAAAACTTATATAAGTTATCCCTTAGCTCAGGCCTTAGTTGTATATAATTAATTAAATTAACTTAGCTAGCACTCTTAGATAATCCAGCCTTGGCCAAGTCTTAGTTAGTGTATCTTGTAGCTTTTGCTTTTGACTCGATATTTAACCAATGTAATTTATTTTCTAATGAGTATGCATATTTTCCTTGTCACATATCTGCATCTTCTACCATCTTGGATGGATCTTAAGTCCATGTTCACAAGACAATGCTAACCTGACAAAACTACACTCCCTTATGCCTCACAGTTGTGATCAAATGACTATGAGGAGGCAAGGGAGGGACCTCCTGCGGGGTTGGCATGTCTTGTAAACAATGACTTAAAAAGACAAAAAAAGATGTGATATATGAACGATGTGGAGATCGAAAAATAGAAGAACATATACCACTAATCATACATGGGAAGTTACAAGCTAAACTAAATAGGAGTGAAGCTAAAGAAGCTAAGGGTATAGATGAGTTAAGCTAATGACTAGCTAAGAAATACCTAATTCTGGAGCTATTGGACTATTATAAAGGAAAGACAGTTTGATGATTCAAGGACCTCTTCCATGGATGTCTAATATTGTACTTATACAAGTCTTTGAGGTGTTAACCTACATCACTCCATGCTTGGCAGAGAGCTTTCTCATCCTATTAAGCATGGTGGTGATTGTCTTAATTAATTATTGCATACCAAATGTCGTTCAACTCCCAAGAAGTATCATCTTCATCTTGCTACAAGCACAATCTTCATTTCCTCATGTTTGGCATGTGGTCTTCCTTGTTATAAGTGTGAGCGTTCATAATCTCAATGTATGGCCATTATATTCCAAGCGTGGCCTAAATATATGTATCAATCCCATAAATCACGGGATAAAGGTTAATTATCTTTAAATCTAATCAAATATATGGCAATTTAATGGGCCTATGAATAGCTGTTAGGTCGATAGGACTTTTGTTGAAATTTTTTCATATAAAATAGAGTTTGAAATCATATTTTTTAGTTTTGTTTGTGTTTTAAGAGTTAGTTTAGTTAGGTAGATGATTTAAATCGTTGATCCTTTTGAATTCAATTGTGAAATGTACAAGGTTGGATAGATTTATGTCTTAGCGTTTATTTGATTTATAATGGACCCAAAATGAAGTTAAATTAAAGGAGTTATAGCATTTTTAATCTAGTGCACAGGATCTGACCTATCTGTACTGATTTGATCACAGCTCAAACCTCCAATTTCCGGCCGAGGATAAGTGATTGCAGTATGGTTCAAATGCTTCATAAAAAGGAATATAATGAATATTGATTAGAAAAGGGATAAAGGGATTTTTTTTTTATTAAGAGGTGAGTTGGGGAGGGTGTGGGGGTTTCTTGCTTGTATTGCTGGACTCAACCCTGTCTCCTTTGCTGGAGAAGGAAAATGGCGTGAGTCAGCTAGTGTGCTTATCAGAGTCAATTGCTTGTGCGTGAAGTTCAGGTACCTTTTTATAGGGAGATTTCCCAGTTGTACTACGACTTGCATGTGTTAAGACTATAGCTACCTAACTCTTTGGGCAAGGAAAGGGTGGGGGGTAGACTAATATCACTTCGATGGTCCCAGGGAAAGCACCCCTCCTTCTACACACTCCAAATCTAGACATAAACTACAGCTGAAGTTACCCTCGGAAGCTCTAAATAGTGTTTCGTGAGCAAGTTCAAAGGGACAACAAGAAAGTCCAACTAGAACAACTCGGCAAACAGGCCTACCAATGCATTGTAAGTAATACTCTTAATATTGATTAAAAAAGGGTCCAAGATGGGTCCTTTTGGGCTATTTCAACACTTTCCTTCACCCATAAGAGAAGAGGGGGTTCTGTAACCCAAGGGTGCATGCTAAGTGATTCCAAGGAGATTTTAAACTAGATTCTTCATAGAACTAATCTGGAAGTGTCATAGTACATGATTCTGTGGTTTAGGAGAAATTTGATTTTTAACAGGACTGATATGCAGAGTGAATGAGTTTACTGAAAATACTGTTCACTCAGCAACACTGGATCAACTTTGAAATACCATAACTTGTTTGAAATTCAAATACTGCAAAAATTGTGACTAAATTGAAGCTCTTGAATTGTACTTTCAATTAAAATTAGTTTCTTTTCAAACTTCTAACTACATTGAGAGTTATTAATTTTGAAGTATGAGATGGTCAAGAAGGGATCCTTCGGAAATCTCTAAGGAGTGTTTGTGTGGAACATTTTATAATCTCTTAGGGTCTGTTTGGTACAAGTTTCGTTTTTGGTGCTTTTGTTTTTGTCGGATACTGTAATAGTGAATAATAGAAAAAAATGCATTTGGTAAAAAATGTTTTGTTTTATACAGTGCCAAAACGTTTCGTGAATAGTGGCCAAAGGTCGAAACACCAATTTGGTGTTTTTACATATTTTGGCACTGTAGCAATGGTACTGTAGCCATGCGCAGTAACCCAAAAAATTGAAAAACTCCGAAATGAGCTTTTTAAACTAGCCATTATTATTAATTTTTTTTTTAACTTGTAACACTTTTTTACCAAACATGTTTTTATGTTTTTGCTTCCGAAAATTTTGCAACAAATACACATTACCAAACACGCTTCCGATCACTATTCAAAACACCATACAACAAAACACTTGTTTTGTTTCAGGGTAAAACAAAAACGCAAAAACAAAATGCTTACCAAACAGGCCCTTAATGTGTTATTAATTAATCAATACACACCCAGTGGTCATGTTTTAATTCGTTTCCTTCCTTTTTTCCCATTCACGTTTTGGGTTTGTAATTCGCCTATTGAAGTTTTACACCATGTTTTCCACTTAACATCACCTTGAGTTGTACAGCTTGTGACACATCTTTTTCAATTTGAGTTAGGTTTGAATCTTTTTCCCCCAGATCTTTGTTATTTTTTTTTAAACAACAACAATAACAACAATAACAAAGCCTTTTTGCAACTAAAGACTTTCTTGTGCATATTTATTCTCATATTGGGTATCACCATCTTTCTGTCAGTCTCCACATTGTCCATAGAAATGCATGGAAATACTATTCTTTGAGAGAGAGCGCGCGCGCGTACAGACAAAACTAAAAAAAAAAAAAGAGTGTACATGTTTGACGTTTGAGTAGGATCTGAAGTTATTAATTTTTTGAAGTACAACATTTTTATTTTATTGAGTAAATTAGATCATCACCCTATCTCATAGTGTTTCATTTTAGGTGTAGTGGCTGATGCCTATTGTTTCTAGTTGTGGATTCTTTCAACAAGTGCATATTTAGCAGTTAAGATTAGATTTACTTCCTTTCTTTATGCCGATAGACCGACTAAAGTTGCAAGAATTTATTACTCAAATGTCTTCTTGTGCCTACAACTGGTAAATAATTCTATCACCTCACGGACTTTCAGATGCTACTTGTCTACCTAGGGATAATTGATCCAGTCCTCGTTTAATCTCCTTTAATGTTTTCTGTAGGCATGTCATAATAAATCTTGCTACCGAAAGAATAAAGAAATGCATTTACAAGGGCAAATTTCAGATCTACTATGTTTTCTAGAGAACTGCTCAGTGCAAAAAAGTTAAATTGATATGGTAGCATGCACGGATGTTAGTTCTTGATTTATTTATTTATTTATTTTTTCCCCGTTTAATAAGTGAGCCAAAAAATAGTGGTTTAGAAGCTACTTTAGTTCTTGAGGTTTATTGGTAAAAGATAAACTAACAGATTTTTATTTTTATTTTTTTAAAGCAGAACAGTTGGCCAAGGATCTTGAATTATTTGCACAGCATGCAGGTCGTAAGTCTGTAAACATGGAAGATGTCATACTTTCTGGTGAGTTTGTCATCCCAAGTCTGTAGAGAGCATTGATTCTAGTGAAGTCATTTTGATTTCTCCTTCGAGTAATCAATTTATTGTATCTATTTTGATTTATCTGTCTACTCTTGTTTGCAATATTTGGCAATCATAACATTATGGCAGTTGCTTATATCATGTTTGTTGTTATATTAGACCATCTCATGGAAAATATTGTATTGCGTTTGATGATTTTCTATATTCCATTGATTTGGAACAAATATCATCGTGGCAGTTAGTAATAAAATAACTATTCACTGTGTTCTCACTGTTACATGAATCCGTTGTGTCTTACCACCCGACCTTTGGTTCAAGTGGTATCTCCTCCCCCTACTTGGGAGGTCAAGGGTTCAAGACTCCATAGGTGCAAATAGTGGTGCATGTGTGAGTTGGGTGCGGGTACTTTACCTACCTAAAAGAAGTAAATAAATCCTGTGTTTAATTTTATATTGTTGTTGTTGCGAGAGTCCCAAATCACAGTGGCAACACATGCTATAATTTTGAATTACAAGAAGAAGTAACTAGTCCGCATAATGAAGAAATTTGTTCCTTCCATTTCAATTTCCCATGACAATGTACTCTTATTACATGTGATCCTCGTTCAATTTCAAAACTTTGTGGCAGAGTAAGACTCTTTCAATTTTGTTGCAGCACATCGGAACGAACATCTGGCTACGTCTTTGAGATCCTTCCGCAATGATTTGAAAGCAAAAGAACCCCAGTCCGATAGGAAGAGGAAGAAAGGTTCTAAAAAGGAAGATAAAGCTGCCACTGGCGTAATCCATATTCCTGATCTTTAGCTTAGCATATAGATTGAGGATCAACACAACTCTTACTGCTAAACATGCCTTCCTGTTGTCCAGATTTTTGGATCACCTTGTAGTTATTTTTCAGAATCATTAGCATATGAGCCAATGCCTATCCAATTTGGTAGGAACCATCAACTTATATGCCTTCCTGTTGTCCAGATTTCTGGATGACATTGTAGTTATTTGTTATTTTCCAGAATTAGTAGCATATGAGCCAATGTCTATCTGAGTTGTAGGAACCATCAACCATCATTATATAGGAAACACGCATGGATCGGGTTTCTGGAACAATTTTGTAATTTGAATATTTCATTCAAATATGAATTATGATGTTAAGGGGTGCCTTCATGTGAATGTGAAAATGTGTCTGGTAACTCATTTAATTTAGGTAGAAAGAGCTACACGGGGTTGAAAAGGTCCAGTTTGGTCTGTAATGATTTTAAAATTCAGTCCAAAACAATGTTAGGGTTTCAGTAAAACAGATGGTGGTGCTTTCCCATTGTAGCAAAACAATGTTCTCTTGAAGATATTCGAAGCTCTTCATCTTTTTACAATTCTTTTGTGTGTTTTAATATTTTATTTTTTTGGTTATGGAGGTTAAGAAGAGGAGGTTCTTTGTTGCGATGGTTGAAGGTGTGTTCAATTTGAAGTTTGATTTGTTGAACTGTAGTGTTGGAATGGCTGAAAGTTGGATGTTTTAGGGTTTAAATAGTTTAAACTATATATTGTCCCAAATTAGGCCAATTGTGCTTAAGCTTGATCAGCTTAAACAAGTCTTTGGTACTCCCATAAGAACTTGCTATACCCTCAATCAACCTGTCAGTATGGCTTCATTCCTATATACTTGGACTCTTGTGGGCCAGTTTGGCATGCAATATTGTGTTTTTTAATATTGGTATTCAAATTTGGGCTATTAGGAAGGTTGATATTAGTTTGAAATAGTTCATAACATATCAAATTTTTTGACCCAAACATATATCACCAAATTGGTGTTATTGTGTGTTTTGTTATTGTAGCGGAGCAATTAAAGTAAATTTTTGAATTTCTCAAAACAAGGTTTTGAATTTCCAAATATGGTTCCGATTGTTATCCAAAACACTCTTATAACAAAAAGATTGTTTTGGTATTAACTGAAAACATAATACTTAAAACACATTGTATGTCAAAATGGCTTATATGATAATGATATGATATGTATTATTTTATAAACTAGAACAGTTGAATATCAAGGACTTAATTGTACTCTCTATAGGAGTGTGTTTTATATCTCAAAAATTACTTGACACCCATGGTGTGTACTTCAGTGGATCATTAAACAGTTTAGTTAGACGTTACTTTTTATTTTTCTTCTTTATATTATGCACCCAAAATGCACTGTTTTATTTACAATTTTCAAAAATACAAATAAGCCAATCCCATATGTTTTACTTAAAACCAAAATGTTTATTTAGTGAGATTTAATCTAACCTTCCAAAATTATAATTAGTTATTTCTTTTGACAATACTCAAAAATAAGTTGTCTACGTTGAATGAATCTCTCTTTTGACATGATTTTTTTAAAAAAAAAATACTAAAAAGAAAAGAAAAAGAAAAAGAAAAGTCTAAAAAAGTAGAATGTAAACTTAAAATAGTGGAGTGGGAATATGCCTCTCTCTTTTCACCCTCCTTTCTCTATTAATTCACAACTCATGCTTGCAACTTTGAGTAAATTAATAAAATGACTAATTCATCCATTCCTAATTATCATATTTTCTGTATTATTTCCCTTAAAGAACCGTAAGATGTTATCACACACTTACATGGATCATCGCCTTGTTCGATGGTACTAAAGACTCAATCTAGCAATCCTGTTATTTGCACAAAGGTTTCACTCTTATGTATGTAAATATTATTATTTTTTTTTATAGAGAAGTACTACTTTTTATATGTACATACATGATCTATACAAAAAATGGTAAGTCTGTAGACGAAAAAAGATACCAATGTACACAATAGTGGTACTTCTATCGACAAAAGGAATACATGAAAATAGTAATGGTAGTTTGGACAATAAACAATGTTTGTTTATATCCACATCAACATTTTGGTCAATTTTTTCTTTTTTTTGAAAGATGATGACTTTGACTTAATCAAATAGTAAATATGGGTCAATAAGTTCATCTATCTATAATAAACCTTTGTTATGACACTGATGTTGTATTTGGAAATACCGAATATGTGCTTTAGATATGAAATTGAAGAAAATTTAGCTAAATTGCTTTTAATCGCAAATCTAAACTTTCAATTCGATACTTTCAAACATAACATGAAGTTCTTTTATACCCATTTTGCTTTTGTTTCGAGCAAGATGATATTGAATCATCTGATGTCTCTTGTATCAACGTGCGGACATTGGTTATGTGTTCTAAATGCAGTACGCATCTAGCAATGGGGAAGATTCAATTTATCTTCTGCGAACGGATGTAGTAATGAAATCTCTGATTGTGTCAAAACTGTAAGGTGATTTTAATAAATATTTCGAAGGAAACCTGCACCCGTGACCTAGTAAATAAAGGATTTTTTTGGATCTGTAAACTCAGATGTAATTAAGAATTTAATTTAAATGATTTGTGTGACTTTTAAGTAAATTTAAGTTGCAAGGACTGCATGAGAGAGAGAACCGACACTAATTATCTTATTTGATAATTATATAGATAACACAGCAAGTAGAGGGACATAGAGGGTGACCTTATTTTCACAATAACTATTCCTTACACGGTCACCGATTCAAGATAAACCACACTACTATAAATAGAGTAACTCCACTCTTTCACTCTCATCCTCTCTTTCTCTCTCTACCATGAGAGAGAGAGAGGGAGAGAGAGAGATCCTTAATAAACTAACACTTGGGGACTGGAACCCCACAAGTGCTAACAACCTTCCTGGCATTGGGGGAGTTGACATACTTCTTGAGGTTAGGGTTCTTAAGGTACTGGCAAAGGCATGGCTTTTGTTGCTTGATCTTACTGCAGCACAACTGTGACGGCGGTGTTCCTGAACTGATCGAGTTCAGGCAAGGGCTCAGCTCCGACGGGTTACATGTCACCGCCATCAACACCTGTGTTTCACCCACAAGCACCACCACTACCACTGCACACACTACTGCAATGTATGATGCCTTCATTTTCTGAATGGGATGGATAATATGAGAGAGAGAGAGAGAGGACTTGGAGACGAGATGCATATGGCTTGCTTGGCTCATCTCATTTATAAGTGTAAAGGCATAGCTTTTAACTTCAAATACTTTATATTCTTTCTATTTTTTTGTATTTTAAACCCTTCGACTTTTCAACTGTACTTTTATGTTTCATTGTCTAAGTAATAAGATTTCAAAAGAAAAAAAATACTTCTATGGCTCCAAACTAAGTACCCATGTTACGATTTTTATTAGCCTCAAAATAATTGTCTCATTTAAAAAGTAATATATTATTTATTTTTAATATCATTAATTAAACCTTCTTGTGTTGAATGTATAAAAAGTAAATCATCATATCATTGTGTATCAATAAATTTGTTCATCCATACACTGCTAATACAATAAAATAATAATAAAAATCATGATCTAAAAAAGTTAGGATCTACTTGATTTGTAACTATGAAAATAGTTCTTAAGAATTAAAAAAAAAAAAAAAAAAAAGAGATAATTATCTGAAAGCAAGTTTTTTTATAACTTGAGTTTTCAGATTATGTATGGTTTTTAATTTTTTGAAAACAAAAAACTATTCTCAAAGTTACAAATCAAGCATACACTTAGACGTTAAAAAAGAACAATTAAAATGAGATAGGGGAAATAAAATAACAATAATACTACTTTTGAAAGCACTAAATTCGCACATTAGATTCAAACTTGAAATAAATTAGTTTTAACTAATCTTCTCACCGGTTCTAAATTCAAACAACTGATTTGAATAATGCATAAATTCAAATAATTCATTTTTTAATGGACCCTGTGGGACTTAGCAATGTCAGATATCAAGTAGCTTTCAATTCAGTCACCATCAGTTTGTGTAATCTAATTAAATGACCGACTAAGTAGACTAGGAAAGATCAAAACTACTTGGTTGCATTATTTGCACATGATGGAACATCAACAGTGAACCTTGAAGCTCATACAAGCACAATTCGTATGGCCAATGACCAAGACACATACAAGACATAGTTTTTGTTTTTTTTTTTTTGTTTGGCAAAACACCACTACACGATAAAATCCATAGGTCATGTTTAGCTATCGCAAGGAGGCGAACAAACATTCAACAAACATAACAGACACAAGGATTGAAGAATTTGCAGAACCCACTAGATGTTTGGGCTCAACAGTGTCAACCAAATCAGCCTTTAGGAAAGAAGGAGCGCGCTGAACGCACCTCTTTAGTGAGAGTAGAAATCAGTAATGGGTGGCCCGGTTGACCTATGGGGCCCAATATCCATTGGCCCATCAAACCCACACTAGAAGCGTCCACCATTACGTGGTCCAAAAAGTTCGCTTCCTCAGGGCAAATGATGTGAATGCGGCCTGACAGGGTAGTGTTGATTCCTATTGAAGTTTGGTTTGTACTTTCAATGTCAAGTATATTGTGTGTCACACTCAAGGGGAATGAAGTAATTACAAGGGCACTACATATTCAATTATGGTGGTGCATTGTGTGACTATATTTGCTACAGGCTATGTGGAGCATATTTTGCTGGTTCACTTTCTCATGGTTCAGTTCCATTCACTCACGTGGGTATTTTAGTCTTTATACATGCGTGAGTGATCTTGTTATACTTGTTTTGGGTGCTACATTGCACTACATATTTCATTTTCTGGATTGAATTGCATCTACACATGCTGCAGCTACAATGTTCTGGTTTATGTGACACGTGTCCAATTCAAGGGCATTTCAGTAATTTTAATTACAACCTCAGGGGTATTATGGCGAATCCCGTATGCTGTGAATGTAGGGATTAATCTGTGGAAGTTACATTGTATTAGACTTGATCTTCAAACTGAAAAGGTTCAATTCAATGTATGCTTGACATGTGTATCTCTAAGTAATTCTGTATGGTGCTGCTGGCTGCTGACACTTGGTGTGTGGTCCTTGCGTGAGTGACTAAGGCCAGCTTTACAAAATTCTTGGGGCTCAAGATCATGAAGGCATTTATGATATATATATATATATATATATATAGTTAGTGAGCTTTGTACTACGTGCTTATAAAGGTTAGTTGGCAACGGGTAAAAGGGTACTTTCCCTGTAAACATGACAGAATATCTCTCCTCACTGATTGGAGGATCTCACCTTGTTCTTATCCATTATTAGGGTTGTA